GTAGAGATGAGGTTTCACCATGTTAGCCAGGATGGTCTTGATCTCCTGACCTCGTGATCTGCCCATCTCGGCCTCCCAAAGTGCTGGGATTACAGACTTGAGCCACCGCGCCTGGCCAACCTTCTCTTTTTATTAATGTGTTTGTTTCTTCGCAGATCTTTTATAGTTTCTACTTTGAGAAAATTTGTTTTATGTGGTACCCAGATATTATAGATCTTTTTTATTATACTTTAAGTTCTGGGATACATGTGCAGAACGTGCAGGTTTTTTACCTAGGTATACACGTTCCACAGTGGTTTGCTGCACCCATCAACCCATCACCTACATTAGGTATTTCTCTTAATGCTATCCCTCCCCTACGCCCCAACAGGCCCTGGTGTGTGATGTTCCCCACCCTGTGTCCAAGTGTTCTCCTTGTTCAACTCCCACTTATGAGTGAGAACATGCAGGGTTTGGTTTTCTGTTACTGTGTTAGTTTGCTGAGAATAATGGTTTCCAGCTTCATCCATGTCCCTGCGAAAGACATGAATTCATCCTTTTTTATGGCTGCATAGTATTCCATGGTGTATATGTGCCACATTTTCTTAATCCAGTCTGTCACTGATGGACATTTGGGTTGATTCCCAGTCTTTGCTGTTGTGAATAGTGCTGCAATAAACATACGTGTACATGTGTCTTTATAGCAGCATGATTTATAATCCTTTGGGTATATACCCAGTAATGGGATGGCTGGGTCATATGGTACTTCTAGATCCTTGAGGAAGCGCCACACTGTTTTCCGTAATGGTTTAACTAGTATCCTGTCACCTTTAGCCCCACATTCTGATCCTAGTTTAGTTCTACAGTAAATTGATATTCAATGCTTTTCACTTGTATTTTTGCTAAGTTTATTCTAACATTTTCTTGATTATATGAACTTCATCTTCTAATAGAAACCCCAGAAAGAGCCATGGGAACAATAATCCCTGAGTTTCTTTATGTTCAAACTCTTTGTTTATCGCCCTTATACAAGTACAGATTGGTTGCCATAAAATTCCTGGCTCATCTTTATATTTCTGAGTTTCTTGTAAGTGTTCTTTTATTACTTTCTGGTATAGAAAGTTGCTATCAAGACTGATGCCAACTTGATTTTTTTTCGGTGGAGGAGGAGGAACTGGTTACCTGAAGGATTCTTTGTTTATTTTGAAGGTCTAACAACTTTACTAAGTTCTACAACTTTACTTTTTGGAAGGTCTACAACTTTACTTTTTGGAATTTACTAAGATATATGCCTTTTCAATATGTAGACTAAAATCTTTCATTTCTGGGAAGTTCATTTAAATTTTAAATCTTCTACTCTGAAGTTTACTTTTTTCTTTGGGATTCTGCTTATAATATAATCTTCTTGGTCAGTCTTCTATACCAATTTCTTTCTCTCTAACTCTTTTACCCCATTCTTTATTTTTGTTTCTTTTGCCTTTCTGATTTCTAGCCTTTATGTCCTTTATAATGATTTCTGTATTGTTCATTTAAAAAAAATCTCTGTAACTTAGTCTTCAAAATAAGTGACTGTTGCTTCAATTTCTATCCAGACTTCTCTGAGTTCCTATTTCACACCTTCTTGTGGTCCGGGTATATTTTCTCTGAGTTTATTTCCTATTTGTAGTATTCTTTCACAATTAGTTTTATGACTTTGAAAATTCTTGAAGACATATTGTATTGGAATTTTTCTCAATAGAGACAATTTCCTAGTGAGTTCTCTTATAAAAAGCTTGACTTTTCAGGGGTTCCTTTTTCATATTTCTCTATAGGTCCAGCAATTTAGTCATTAGTTATGATTCACATTTGAACAATTTGCCTTTTTTCAGTACCAGAGATTTAGCAAGATTAGGGTAACTTGCCCAGATTCTCCATCTAAGGACTCCTTCCATTGCTACAATAATGAAGATTGCTTTATCGCCTGCCTCACCTTTCCTCTTCACCTTTGTTCGGCATGACTTTTTGCCCTGTTTCTTCAGATCTATACATAACAACTATCCCTCAGGGTTATGTCCTCTCTTTCTAGGCATGACTGTCAGCTGAGGATTTGTAGATTCTGATACTCCCCATTACTCCCTGCCCTACTCACCTACTTTGCTGCTTGGCCTTTACTTTCCGCATTGATGGGGCTGATTCATGGTGTTGTTTTCCACTCATTTCCAAGGTGTTGTGTGTTTTTTTTTAATGTGAGATGTTTCTGACTCTCAGTTTCAATGAAAGTATACATATCTGAGCTTATATTCCTCCTCTTTGTCACTTTGCATGGTTCTCAGTGGAGACATAAGAAAATTAAGATCTAGACAATCACTGTTTAGTCCCAAATACATAATTCAGATATGGTTCCATGCACCCTTTTCTTAATGTAGTTCCCTTTGCATCCTTTTTATTCTTTCTTCAGATATGTACTTGTTGAAAAGGATACCAAAAGCTTCTGAAAGTTTTATCTGTGACTTGATCAAATTATGTTTTAGAACTTCTCGCTTTCACAGACTTCTCAAGGCCATCACCACCGGTCAACGGTTAACACTTCACTCCATTCAGCCCAAGGGTTTACACAGAGATAAAACATACAGAATGCCCTCCTTCTCTGGGTATAGATAGTCAAGGTGCATGTACAGAGAGTGAGAAGACTGATAAATGTTTGCAGACTTGAACTGAATTAAATTGACCCAAACTCCTGTTTGACTCTGTGTTTTAAAATTCTCAGCCTTGAGAAGAATAAATTCAGGAAAGGAAGGTAAGACCTAAGAAAGGAGAGAAGTAGAAACTCTAATCATTTAACATTTATTTAATTTTTCTGTAGTCAAGACACTACTACAGCTACTGTGTGGAAGACATAGCATGTTACAGAATCTACCATTAATACGGGGGCACAAAAATGTTCAAGTGCTGATGAAAAAAATGTGTCATCAAAATCTTGTGGAAGCTTCGTGCAGGAACAGCCTTTCTCTTAGAGAAGGAGCATGAAATGTTAAGTAGTAGGTGGCATTTGTGTGGAAATGTGTGGACTTTTACCAGTCAGAGATGGAGAGAAAAGTCATCCCCCACACAGTGGTCGTAATCATTAGGGACCTTTACTCCCTGTTGCCTAGTTCTTTCTTCCTTCCTTCATTCCCTTTCCCCGCTTCTGTGGCCCAGGCTGGCATGAGTGTGGTGATCTCGGCTCACTACCAACCTCTGCCTCCCTGGTTCATGTGATTCTCCTGCCTCAGCCTCCTGAGTAGCTGGGACTACAGGCGCCCACTACCACACCCAGCTAATTTTTTTGTATTTTTAGTAGAGACGGGGTTTCACCGTGTTGCCCAGGCTATTCTCGAACTCCTGACCTCAAGCGATCTGCCCACCCAGGCCTCCCAAACTGCTGGTATTTCAGGCCTGAGCCACCGCACCCAGCCTATTGCTGATATTTCTATCCATATGAAGAACAGCCCTGGCTGCTTCTCCAGTCGTACCCTGGAGTGAGTTACCTGATTGCTGAGTTTTGGCCTTCAGCTTCTCTTTTAGGACACATCCTGTTCTATTCTGTTTGAGATTCTGGAGACTATGATTTTTTTCTTTGGAGTTTCACTGACACCTCAAAAAGTAATCTGTACATAGTGGGTCTTTACTAAATAGTTGATTGTTGAATTGGTTTCCAGAAAAATAGATAATATGAAATTGCATCTTTAGAGAATATTGAGTTTTGGGCTTGATGAATCAGAACAGGTGCAGTCTTGGGGTCTGAGAGTGGTTTGAAAGCAAGTGAATGGCTGGGAAACTCTGAATCCAACTCATATAAGATTTTAATAGAGGCAGTTATGTCTAGCCCATTAGATTGAAATTCCCTGAGGTTAAGGGTTACCACTGTCTTACTTACCTAGCACTGTGCCAGGTCCAGAGTTAGTAATTAAGATGCTTTCGTTCATTCATTTTACAGATATTAACTCCTCTGAGAGTACAGCTAAAGAAAAGGAAAGTACTGCTAAAGAAATTTGGGATGAAAAAGAGTGTAGAAAAACAAATGAGAAACGTATTTTAATTACCTCACATTGTATCTCCCACACTTTCCAGCATAGTGTATTTCAGTAAAAATTTACAGTGCACATAGTAGATGGCCAATAAAAGTACACTGTCTTTCTTCTTCCTTAAAGCTCAGAGAATAGCATGCTCACCAATCTAAAGTAAAGCATTTTTACAGACCTGTAATGGGGCTCACTCAAGGTGTTTTCTCTCTGACTTCTGAGCTCCTGGAAGGAGGGAATCAGACTAGTACCTTTGAGCTCCTCCTCTGCGGACTCTCAGACCAGGCACAGCAGCAGCACATCCTCTTCCTGTTGTTTCTGTGGATGTACGCGGTCACTGTGGCTGGGAACCTGCTCATTGTCCTGGCCATTGGCACCGACACACACCTCCACACCCCCATGTACTTCTTCCTTGCCAGCTTGTCGTGTACAGACATCTTTTTCACCTCCACCACCGTGCCCAAGGCCCTGGTGAACATCCAGACCCAGAGCAGGTCCATTTCCTATGCAGGGTGCTTGGCACAGCTCTACTTCTTCTTGACTTTTGGGGACATGGACATCTTTCTCCTGGCTGTAATGGCCTATGACCGCTATGTGGCCATTTGCCACCCACTCCACTATATGATGATCATGAGCCTCCACCGCTGTGCCGTCCTGGTGGCCGCCTGCTGGACCCTCACGAGTCTTGTCGCCATGACTCACACCTTCCTCATATCCCGGCTTTCCTTCTGCTCTAAGATCATTCCTGACTTCTTCTGCGATTTGGGACCGCTGATGAAGGTGTCTTGCTTTGACACCCAGGTCAATGAGCTTGTGCTCCTCTTCCTAGGGGGAACAGTCATTTTAATCCCTTTTATGCTCATCCTGGTCTCTTATATCCGCATTGTTTCAGCCATCCTCAGGGCGCCCTCTGCCCAGGGAAGGTGCAAGGCCTTCTCTACCTGTGGCTCTCACCTCGTTGTTGTTGCTCTGTTCTTCGGGACGGTGATCAGGGCGTATCTGTGCCCCTCATCCTCTTCCTCCAGCTCAGTAGAGGAGGATACAGCGGCTGCTGTCATGTACACAGTGGTGACTCCCCTGCTGAACCCCTTTATTTATAGCCTGCGGAACAAGGACATGAAGGCTGCAGTGGTTAGACTTCTCAAGGGCAGAGTCTCCTTCTCACAGGGCCAGGGCCAGTGACTTCTGCTGAGAAACTGAAGGTGTTCTCCTTCCCCTCCAGTGAGGGGCTTGACAGAAATGTCTATACCTCAAAGTGTCTCATTTCCGAATCCCACATATCCCTTATCAGCACTCCCCTCCCCGAGTGCCCACTGCAAGTTTGGTGTTATAAAGGGAAATCAATGTTTTGCTTTGTGCTTAATCTGTTAAGAGCTCCTTATTTGCTCATTTAACTTATTAATAATTTTTCACAAGGAGGCATGACTTTTGCAATGCTTTTAATTCTAAAGCCTGTGTAGCCTTTTATATGCTAGTTTATTAAAACTTAATGAGGTCATGGAAAGTGGGCTAATGACAATATTTAGCAATAAAGTCAATCAGATGGCAAAGACTTTACAAATTTAAGTGAACAAGTGTATGTTTTCCTACAAAAATAGGAAATTATACAAATACTTATTGTCTCAAGGTTATGAATCAAAAATATTTGCAGCTATTAAAACAAAGCTGTCAACGATATAGGAGTGATCTATGTTCTCTTAGTAAAAAGATTTACAATTTGTAATGAGATGATATAATAAATGTAAGTTATATATTATGGTAACTAGTGTGTAGTTATTTCTTTTTCTGTTTTTTTGAGATGGAGTCTCACTCTTATTGCCCAGGCTGGAGTGCAATGGCACGATCTCAAGCTCACTGCAACCTCTGCCTTCCAGGTTCAAGCGATTCTCCTGCCTCAGCCTCCCAAGTAGCTGAGATTATAGGTACCTGCCACCACGCCTGGCTATTTTTTATATTTTTAGTAGAGACAGGGTTTTACCATGTTGGCCAGGCTGGTCTTGAACTCCTGACCTGCGGTGATCCACCCACTTCGGCCTCCCAAAGTGCTGGGATTACAGGCATGAGCCGCCACGCCCGGCCATGTGTAGTTATTTCTAGCTTTCTTCCTTATCTGCTTAAGTCGTGGCTGACTGTGAGTGTTGTGTGTGTGTATCTGCCTATAGCCCATGCAGGTCTGGGTCAAAAACTGGGAGGCCAGCCATCTTGAGGAATTTGACAGAGAGTTGTGGACCACACATATTTTTGCTTCCTTGTGCTGAGTAGCACACCCCATCTCCCACAAGAGGGGTAAGGCTGTCAGTGGTAGTGACTTGGTCCAGGAGGCAGAGGATGCCTTCAGAAAGGAGGAGACTGTCGAGAGAAACTGAGGAGGTACGTGAGATTCGTGTTCACTGCAATCCATGCCTGTGCTACTTAGATCCATTTGCAGTTCCCCATTGTATCCAGCTCTCATCCTATGATTTGGAGCCTCTATGTGTTGTTGTTAAAATGAATTCAGCCTCATTCCTTCTCAAACAGGGTGGGCATATGCCCCATAACTCAGAATTCCCTTTAAGTTGGTGGCCAGTTAGGAGATGGTAAGATTGCATAAAAGTGTAATCAAAACAAGATACAGTCCATACTACTGTTGGTTGTCCCAAAGCTGTAATTGCAGATAATTAGCTTGACTCTCTACTACCTATTTTAGATTTCCCTCATCTACGCTATCACTTTGGCAGGTCTATGTTGATGCCTGGTAGAATGAATTAGACCTTCAACTATTAGAGGTTTTCGTTATTCTGTTTTTTGTGTTATGACTAAAATGCTTAATAGCATTTATTACCATCTATGGAATTAATATGAGAGTTCATGGCATAAGCCATAAATCTTCATGGTAATCAATATCAATTATCTCAGTTTAAAAAATGACTCCTATCTTTTTCTGTTGGTCTACTACATGAAGAGCATGAAATGGTCAGGGGCAGTTGGTTTTATTTTAGTGGATTAATTAAAGAGAGGTAAGGCTTCCACACTTCACTTGAACTAGTAAAATGATGAAAACAGTAAAAGGTGATAAATTATGTATGTATGTTTAATGTAATACCTACAGCAGCCGCTAAAAAACTATACAAAGGGATATACTCAAAAACACAATAGATGAAGCAAATGTTAAAGCAACTCACAAGAAGGCAGGAAAAAGAAAACACATAGAAACAAAAAATAAAATGACAAATTTTAATATGAACATATCATTAATTATATTACATGTAAAAGGTCTCAATGCACCAATTAAAAGACAGAAGTTGGCAGAGTGGATTCAAAATAAACATTACCCAACTCTATGTTGTCCACAAGAAGCTCACCTCAAATATTACAGCTTAGGTTGAAAGGAAAAGAATGGAGAAAGAAATATAAACATTAATGAAAAGAAAGAGATGTGGCTATATATATTTCACATAAGTGGATTTCAAAGTAAAGAAAATGACCAGTGACAGAGAGGGATATTATAATAAAGGATTCAATCCACCAAGAAGACATAGCAATCCTGAAAACGTATTCATCATACAGTTGAGATGCAAAATATGTGAGAAAAAAACTGAAAGAGACATAGACGAATGTTCACAATTATAGTTGAAGACTTCAAAACCCCTCTCTCAACAATGATAGAATAACTAGACAGAAGATCAGTAAGGATATGGGATAACTCTACAACAGCAGTAACCAACAGTATCTATTTGACATTTATAGACCACCCCCTTCAATAACAGCAGAACTAACATTATTTTCAAGTGCCCCCTGAATATATACCATGATAGATCATATACTGGGGTATAAGACAAACTCCAACAAATTTAGAATAATTGAAATCATACATCATACGGAGTGTGTTCTCTGACCACAATGCAATCAGCCTAGAAATCAATAACAAAGATGAAGAAAATCTCCAGACACTCAAAAACTAAACAACACATTTATTAATAATCCACGGGGAAGTCGCAAGTATAATTTTAAAAAACAATCAAGCTGTATTAAAATGAAAATATAACATATCAGAATTTGTGGAACAAAGCTAGAACAGTGATAAGAAGAAAATATATAGCACTGAATACATACATTAGAAAAGAGGAAAGTCTCAAATCAAGAATCTAAGTTCCCATTTAAGAAGCCTAGACAAGAGCAAAATAAATTCAAAGCAAAGAGAAGCAAGTAATAATGATAGGATCAAAAATCAACGAAATTGAACATAAAAAACAACAGAAAAATCAATGAAGTGAAGACCCGGTTCTTTGTAAAGATGAATAACAAATCTCTAGCAAGACTGACGAAGAAAAAACAGAGAAGACAATATAAGAACTGAAATCAGGTATATCACTACAGACCCTGCAGACATACAAGAGATAGGAGGATACTATTAGGAATTCTAAACACACAATTTTGACAATGAAGATAAAGTGAACGAATTCCTCAAAAAATACCACAACTCATCCAATGTGAAATAGATCATTTGAGTAGACTTACAGCTCTTAAGGTAATTGAAATAACAAGTTCATAACACCTCAAAAGAAATACATAGGTCCAGATGGTTTCACTGGAAAACACCATCAAAAAGAGGAATAAACACAAATTCTACGTAATCTCTTCCAAAAACAGAAAAGGAGAGAAGAGATTACCCTGATGCCAAAACCAGATGAAGAGTACAGACACAGAGAACTACAGACCAATATCCTTATGAATATAAATGCAAAAATTCATAATACCAAATTCAGCAATATATAAAAGAAATTACATACCATGATCAAGTGGGGTTTATTCCGGGTATGCATGGTTGGTTCAATAGTTGAAAGCCAGTCAATCCAATCCAGCATACTAACAGCCTAAAGAAGAATGACATGATCCTACTAATTGATACAGTAAATGGATTTGACAACATTTAACACCCTTTTCATAAATTTTTTAAAATAAACAAAACCTCAGACGGAGAGGAATGAAGAGGAATTTCCTCAACTTGATAAAAAGCATCTACAAAAAACCTATGA